GGACAGGGCAAATTCACCGCCTAAAATAGTTACAACAGTGTGCACGGTCGGACAAACGTCGTCTCAGTTCTGTTAATGGCTGCTATGAAAAGGTGGTGCCGGTATTTCAACAAATCTTTCTACAAATTAAAATTATACTTTTTTGTGCCAAGAGGTAAATATTTTCCACTTTACTTCTTAAACTTCTAGATATTTTTTCGCTGGTATTTTCTGCAATGTGTTTGATACAACATCAAACCATTTTCACTACGAATTCATTCTCAATGTCGGCAAACATGCAATGCTAACCCCAAAGAATGTATAGCTTATTGTTTCCACAAACTGCGTACGGGGTACTTACAATTTAGCTGGGGCATATATGGACAGCGGAAATGATAGCGATAATGATAAAAATACGTCTAAATATGCAGCATGAAGTGTGTTTGGTTCTCGAGAAGAAAATGAACTAAAACAATATTTAATTCAGATTTCCAATATGCATTTTGGGTTAACATACCAAAACACTCGTACTTTGGCCTACGAATACGCAGCCAAGCTGGAAAAGAAGCACCCTCTTTCGCGGGATATAAACAAAATGGCAGACGAAGGCTAGATAGCTGCTTTTATGAAAAGAAACCAAGATTTATCCCACCGAAAACCTGAAAATACTAGCCTCGTAAGAGCTAGTGCTTTTAATCCAACTAATATGAAACAGTTTTTTGACAATTATAGGAAACTAATGGAGAAATACAACTTCACGCCAGACCGGATTCTGAACTGTGACGAAACAGGAATAACAACTGTTACAGGGCCCAAAAGTAATTGCACAAGGCGGAAAGAAGCAAGTTGGGCAAGTGGTTTCTGGGGAGCGTGGTAATTAGTAACATTCTGCGGAATTATAGCGGCTTCTAGAATTTCCTAGCCTCCTATTTACATCCTTCCCAGGGTAAGAATAAAAGATGAATATCTGTATGCTTCAGCACCAGGTTTTTGGATTAAAGACTGGGTGGATAACTGCTGAAATTTTTGTAAAGGTGTTGAAAATTATCAAGAAGTATAAGAACTGCGTGCCGAAAATCCAATATTACTCCCAGTTGATAACTACGAGACGCACATTAGCCTTGCAGCTATTTTATATTGTAGAGAAAACGGCATTAAACTACTTTCATTTCCGCACCACTGCACCCACCAAATGCAGCTCCTAGACATAGCAGCCGATGCGATTATCGACTCCAAAAAGGTCGGCAGAAACGTTGTAATCTGTACTGATAGCTGACAGGCTATGCTAAAATGATAAATGATGACAGGCTATGATAAAATGGCGAAAAGGACACATCGGAATTAAAGGACATGATCATGCGGACAGGTTGGCGAAATGGGCGGCTAACAAGTCACCGATCTCCCCTGAACCGTTTGTACCACTAGCTGTTAATACAGCATCAAAACTGATAAACTCCATCTCCCACCGAGCTTTTTGCGATAGATGGGATGGGACAGCAGTAGGTGCCTTTGCTAAGAAAACTCTGCTCTACCCTGACCGGAAGACATCTACTCAGTTTCTGGGAAAATCGAAAAGTGACTTGAGGCTTCTCACCCACTTCCTGACCGGACACTGCAGGTTACGTAAGCACATGTTTTACATGAAGCTGGCGAATACACCCCTCTGTAGAGGGTGTGAAATGGAAGACGATTTCGGATATAAGGAACATACCTTTCTGTTCTATATTAACGTTCATGAAAAGATTGGGCTGGTTTTCTGACCCTTAAATGAACAGTAAATTGTGGGGACGTACAAAGGCTGGGGCCTAAGTGCTGTGAGTAACTCACCCCCACGTGAAACTACATACATACATGCAGCCCCTAGATGTAGGGATCTATGGGCCATTTAAATCGAGGTGTAAAGCATCATTCAACGACTTTTTGAGCTCCAATCCTGGGACCACGATTAAAATAAATCACATTTCTCAACTTTCACGTGAACCATACTTGTTATCATTTACCCCTATAACCATCGTAAATGCGTTTGCTAAAACAGGAATTTGTCCGCTAAATTCTCAAGTTTTCTCTGAAAATGATTACCTTCCAGCAATGGTCACTGACAGGTCTTTCAGCACACCCGTGGCAATTCAGGATTTAGATGTTTCCGTAGCAAAACAAGGTGCAATGAGTGACGTGCCAGGTCCTTCTGGAATCCAAGCTACTACTAACATTATGAAGATGGTAACAAGTATTGTTGAAGAGTTGCTTGTAAACGTATTCAAAGAGAGAAAAAGAAATTATACGGTTGCTGATATTCGCCTTTTTCCAGGTAAGGAAGCTCCAAAATTTACACCGACGAAGGGAGAAAATGATGAAACAAGCTAAGAAAAATGCTACAAGACACGTCTTTCCAACAAAAAGTAAGAAATCAGAAAAAAAGAAGGTGGTGCCAAAATTAAATACTGTAAAGAAAAGAGATGGCAAAAGAAAATTCAAGATGAGACATCTTTATCTGATTCAGATATCGAGGATCCAAAAACAAAAAAAAGCAAATATTCATCAATTTAATTTGGAATTGTGATGTTTAATTTATTTTTTGAAAATTTAGTCAAAGTTATTGAGTTCAATATCTCGAACCACAATGTAACTTAATTTTTGGTTAAGATATACACTGTGTTAATCAAGTATCGTAACCCACGTGACCTGTGTAATATAGGCTGCATATCTCAATATGTAGTGGTAACTTGGATAATATTAAATAAGTAACCAGATGTTGACAGCTGATCTACGTTATTGTTGGGGAATAGCACTTATTCGCTAATATCAAAAAGACGCTGAAACTTAAATACAGTAAAACCTCGACTTACGCTACCCCGTCTTACGCGACCCCGTACTTACGCGGTTTTTCTAACGACACCGCGCCGCGCCGTCGGGGCGCGACAAGAAGGCGCGTTAGCCATCTCGCATTTTTTTTTAATTCTTCATCGTGTTTTTCGCTGGTAGTCTTGTGTATTCACCAACACGAAATAAAACGTTTCGATAGAATATTTTAAAACTTTTACAAATGTCCTGTAAAAGAAGCAAAAGTGATTATTCGGCGCCGAATAAAAAAAGAAAAACTGGTCAGTTCTGATCCAGCCCAAGTGGAAAAACAAATGACAATTGCAAGTTTAACTCAAGGTTTGGACTCAATTGAAAAAGGTTTGAAAATTTTGGAAAATATAGACCCTAATGAAGAACGAGTTATTACTACAACGCAAGGTATTAAAAAATTATTAGCTTGTTATGAAGAAATTCTTCGAGAAAAAAAAGCATCCCTCATTCGTCAGTCTAGTCTTTTAGATTTTATAAAGCCGTCAGAACCGACGTAATAATATACGTTTTAATATTATTTATGTAACTTATATTTTCATATTGCTTTTATTTTTTCGGGAAAATAAATTTATTAAAATTAGTAGTAGTATTATTAGTATGTACATACATTTTTTTAACAAAATTATGTTTAATTATTAATGTTTATTAATCCTTGATTATATATATATATATATAAATAATCTATATATATATATATATATGTATTTATCGTATTTCGACTTACGCGATTTTCGACTTACGCGGCTACTGTCAGTCCCACCTATCGCGTAACTACGGGGTATTACTGTACATGAATAACAATGAAATTCACAAAAATGAGTAGTTTGAATCGAAAGATAAACCAATTTATCACATCTTAATACAATTCAATAACTGAATATATTATCAGTATATTATCACTGAAGATGGATATTTTTTACGTTGAAATCGGTCTTGCCCGAATAACAAACAAACTATTGAAATACGTTGGACAAAATAATATCCTACTAAATCACTACGCGATCTATAAAATGTACTTGGAGAAAAGAGTGTGTTGAAAGGAATCAATTCATTTATTCCTCAATTATTTCAAGAAATGTTATAGCTTCACCATTTTCAACTCGTTTACAAACTCTTTCCAGAAACATAGTTTTTGCATTATACAAGCGAGAATTTCATGTTTTAGTATCCATTTGAATTGTATTCCAGGCGAAAGTTTTGTTATTGACATGGGTGCTAAAATCCTTCTTGAGAGAGGGGCAAAGAACATGACAGTACGATTTTTCTCAGACAGTCAAGCCATTCTCCAGGCGCTGCAGGTCGTGAAAAAACTTTAAACACACTGAGTTGTGATAACAGAATTTGTCTGATCTGGGTCCTAGGCTACTCTAGGGCTGCTGGCAATGAAGTGGCAGATGAGCCAACGGTTGGTGTATCATTTGTGTTGGCTAAACATAAAATTGGACTGTGGGCTGAAGACAGACTTCGCCTGCTATGGACCAGTTCTCCCGGAACGAGACATGCTAAGTTATTTATTAACATCGCCACTGTCAAACCCGGGAACATTATAGGATTTGCTCGTAGCAGCATTAAAGTTCTAATGGGTGTGTTTCCTGGGCACTGCCAATTAAACACACTTCAACTTGTTGGGTTTAGCTTACGATGTTTAATTAAAGTAAATTAAATTAATGCTGACTATGTGCGGGGAACGAGGAGACGGTTGAGTATGTTTTATGCCACTGCCCTGTTGTTATGCCACTGCCTAAAGGATCTGAATGACTTTCCACTGAGAAAAGTATTAATATAAGTACGAAGGCTTTCACGGCCGGTGTGAATTAAACTAAAATTAGAACTAACACTAGAAACTTTCGGGTTTTGCCGTGCGTCTTTTAATAAAAGGTTTGACGTTTCGGATGCCATGTTGCAACCTTCCTCAGAAACTGGTTCGAAGTGTCACTTCGAACGTTTCTAGTTTTAGTTCTAATTTTAGTTTAAAAAAGTATTAACGTCCGTTAAGAGCATTGGACTGCAAGGTGAAATTTGATAACGTTATCTATCGTTGTACAATACATCCTTAGGGTCGCGGTGATATGTAATTTATGTGAATGTAATGTAATCCATTTGAAACAAAATATTTAGTGCATATAAATTGATTAAATTGTTTTAAAATTTTAAGAAAATAGTATTACTTCAAAAAAGCCACTTTGCTCGGAATCCATGTCATTTAATGGAATGTAAGTATTATTCGTCGCTTGGTCTACCAACATAGCATGTCTTTGAGAGAAGGTTCCACGGCCAACATCTTGTCCACTTATTCGAACATTATATCCTATAAATTATACATTAAAAAGATAAAACAAATTCGGTTTAACGGTTTATTTTATGATTTTTTTGATGATTAAGCGATTTTTTTTCTAGCTAAATCCCTTTCAACAAGTTTTACTATAAAGAAGATCTGTCGCTGGTATGTGAAGCAGATATTTTGTTTTCATTGGAATTTAGGAGTTAATATCCTTAAGTTAAATTAGTTTTGGTCATAAAATATTCTCACGCCAAGAAATCCGAAATAAACATACATTGATTAAATTACAATGATAACACTGGGGAACACAAATTTGGTTATATTATCTATGTCTTTTCAACTAACTTTTGGACTCTGAAATTAAAGATAACCATAGTTTTTGCCCGTCTATCACGTCGGATTTTTAAGTTACAGGATACCCTCAAAAGTCGTATAAATTAATGCATATAAAGGAAAATAATGTAAAAACTTATTAAATATACAAAGAATAATTGTATTCATATGAAGGCTATAATAGTATAAATTGTGTAGCAGTAAATTTTGTGTTGAAATGCTCAACTCTTCCTTTAAACCATCTAGGTACTTAAACCATGTCATGGTTATCTCAATATACGGTAATATATGGTTATATCAATATACAAATCCATCATTACTTCGAAAATATTGTAGAAACACACTTTCTTTTGATCGAAAACCACCTTAACTCCCTTTTTAAACAAATTTGTCTTGTGCAGTCTTGAGACTAAGACAAACTGAAGCTTTTTTGGATGGTCCCAAAAATCGTAAGAAATCATTCAACTCATGCTGCTCAAATTCCTTACGAACGGAATCATCTTCAATTTAAAATTGAGGATTCAAAACTGGCGCTAGGATTTCAAGTGAACGAAGAATTGAACATTTAACTGATGGTAAACTAGGATACTCTATTCTCTTCGTCCGTAAATACTCTGAACACTGATTCGAACGCATTCATATACTTTTGCCCTAAGCTTTCTGAATGCAGAAATTATTTTCAAGGTTATATGAAGGTCACGACCTATTTTTTAAATGGCACCATATATATTTTATTGTAAAATCTGAATCTGTGGATAAAAGTAAAGTCATTAAAAAAAATATATATATAAAAATTTTACTGTGTGGTTTTGCCAGTACAACGGCAAAACATCTTTTGAAAAAAATTGAAACTTCTTCAGAAACAATTAACTAACGTTTATAATCTAGCAAGAACAAATAAGATTTATGAATTTTTAAACATTTTCCTACCCGCTTCGATACATTGTTTTTAGTTCTTAATTCTTAGAATACTATTTAAGAATGCTCAATAACAAAAATCCCGAAGAAGTACATCGGGTGACCTGGCTCGTAGATAGTGGAAAGAGGTTCCGACATTTCTCCCCCTTTGTCAATTTGATCATAGAATAATGCATAAAAAACAAGAGTTCGTGGACCTGCTTATGTCGGCATTTTCAGAATATCGCTTTCAGAGACTAAATTGGTTGAATTGTTTTAAAATGTAACACGTAAAATTAAATTTGTATAAAAACTGCTTGGCAACAAATTCTGAATTCATTCCATCGTTTTACATTAAGGCAAAGTGTTTAAACTAAGTCATGGATACTCTAAGTGTGGCAGAAAAAGTTGAAATGACTTTTATTTATGGAGAAAGTGGCAGAAAAGTTGCTGATAATATAGCTTTGTATCGAGAACGTTTTCCTGATCGAAATACGCCTTCGAGAAGTACCTTTTACAGAGTTGTGAATGATTTCACTAACACTGGAAATGTGGAATCAATAAAAAGAACTCGGCGAGCAACTGTAACTACGGAAGAAAAGGAAATGCGGTATTAGCTAGCGTTGAGGTAAATCCTCAAGTTAGCACTCGACAACTTGCAATTGACGCCGGAATATCGAAGACCAGCATTTTAAGAATATTAAAGCGCAACAAGTATCACCCATACCACATTTCATTTCATCAACAGCTTTATGGAGGCGATTTTGAAAATCGATTAATATTTTGTTAATGGGCACAAGAACGAATGCGGATGAGTCTACTTTTACAAACAAAGGACAAGACAATAGACATAACATGCATTATTGGAGCGTTGAAAATCCGAGATGGTTGCGTGAAGTAGAACATCAACGACCTTGGTCGGTTAATGTTTGGTGTGGCATAATTAGTGATAAATTGATCAGTCCATACTTTATTGATGGTATGCTAAATGGGGAGAAGTACCGAATTTTTTTAGATGACGTCTTACCATCGTTACTTGTAGATTTGAGTATGGAAAAAAGATAAAATATGTGGCTACAAAATGATGGGTGTCCAGCACATTTCTCACATATTGCACGTGAAGCTTTAGATCGGGATTATGCTGGGCGATGGACTGGAAGGGGAGGTCCAACTTCTTAGCCTGTCAGATCACCTGATTTAACACCTCTTGATTTTTTTTGTGGGGCGTCCTTAAGGATAATGTTTATCGCGAAGTACCGACTACGCCAGAAAACATGAAAGAGCAGATAAGATATGCATGCAGAAATAGTAGCCAAGAAAACCTTTTAAGATGTAAAGAAAGTTTTAGTAGAAGGGTTAATAAATGTATTGAAGTGGATGGGGAAATATTTGAACATTTATTATAAATTTTATACTTGTTGTTGATTAATAGTATAGTGTAATCATTTTTTTTATAAATAAACAATATTTAAAACTATTTGAATAAAAAAATTATTTAGATTTTATCCACAAAAGATATTTCGCCGTCCTACTGGCAAAACCACACGGTAATTTTTTTTTTAATTATTTACTTTTATCCACAGATTGAGATTTTGCAATCAAAAACATAGGGTGCCATTTAAAAAATTGGTCGTGACCTTCATATGACCTTGAAAATAAGGTCAAGGTTAAAAAATCTTATCGTCATATGGTTTCCCCCTTCGCACAGAACAACTTTAATTTGGTTCATTTTTATGTAAAATGGTATGTAAACGGTTCGTTTGCGAAATAATCGCTTGTCTCACGTTAGATGAACCATTCTGTATATGTCGCAGGCAAATGGTTGTTTCAGGTAAATAGCTTTTTCCTAGTCAGATACTATCTGCCTAGGCAAATAGTCTTATCCCATTTATTTCAGCCTAAATTCTACTTTCCTAAGCAAATATCATATTGCTAAAATATTTTCAGGCAAATAGCTCTTTAAACCAACTCAACCCCAGGAATGCTTTATTTCTTTAAGAGAGGGCTACAGTTCACAGTCACTGTTTTCTGGGCAAGGAATGTCAAAATGCCAGTGCCAGCCTTCGAAATTTCAGTAGAGTTTTCAGTTTAGACAGGCACTACTTGCCTTGTCCAATGGTATCTGCCTAGACATTTAATGAGAAAACTGTAACGAACTACTGTTTGCCTAGGCAGAAGCTATCTTTTGGTTACCTGAAATAACCATTTGCCTGCGACATATACGGGGTGATTTTTTGAAAACGATCCGCCTAAGATATTTCTGAAACCAGAAGGATGATGAAAATGTTCCGAAAAAAGGTCAACTTATATTCCAAGGGAGAAACGGTTTGACTTATGATTCACACTTTTGGCGTCTACCCCTGCGCCCCCACGAATACCTCCCCAAAAATTTTAAATGGAATGACCCATGGCGTGGTATCTCAAATGAAAGCTTATCTTATAAGGATTATGGTGATGTGTCACTTGCCCACGTTTCCTATTTTCTCATACATTTTATGACAAACTTTATCATTGCCACTTCAGGAGAACGGTAAGCGCTATCAAAACCTAATTTTCATCAGTTAGGAGTGGAAACAAAAGAAAACAAGCCGTTATCGTTTTGTCTAACAAACTGTCACATTAGTTGTTTCCGTTTACTCAACTTAACTTAGATTGGTTTCCGTAAAAATGGTGTACTCTATTGCTGAAAGGGTGGAAGTTATCTACATTTATGGTGCCGAGCAATGTGCTCGTGCAACAGCAATGGTTTTTAATCAAAGACATCCAAATAAGCATATGGAGCATAAATACGTTCGCGAACTTGTGCAAAAATTTGAAGTAACTGGATCGGTAGAGAACAAGAAAAGGCATACTAATAAGGTAGTAGATGAACTGGCGGAGATGGAAGTAATGGGAAATTTTACCATGGAGCCAACCAGTTGTGAATCATAGATCAAATCGTTTCCACCTTGAAATATAAATGAATCTGTTTTCGGAAATTGTCAATTTCCTTTTAGTTTCTGAAATAGCTCAGGCAACATTTTTATCAAGACGGTACGGACCTTGAAATCCAATATCAGGGGCTGTATTACGCAAATAGTAGAGAACTATAAACTGCAATACCCTTTAACCTAGTATCAACTATTTGCGCCTTCAGCACAAATGTTAATGCACTGTGGTAAATAAAGTCTGGTGCTGACTTTATCTGTCTAAAACAGATTTTGCCAATACTAGATGCTGTTCTGCCTCCGCTGAATCATATTTTTAACTTTTCTTTTGAATCATCCTCTTTTCCATCTATATGGAAACATGCTCAGGTTGTTCCCATTCCCAAATTGAAAAATTCCAGTTTTGGCTGGCGACTATCGTCCTATTTCATTACTTTCTCTTTTGTCAAAGGTTCTTGAGCGTATTGTGTATACCCAGGTTTATGATTTTCTTGAGAAGCATCGATTGATCAGTGACAAACAGTCTGGTTTCCGACGGGGTCGTAGTACTACTACTTCCTTGATCATGATCATGGATGATATAAGACTTGCCTGTGATAATCGTTGTCTCACTATTTTGGTTCTACTTGATTTCAGCAAAGCCTTCGACTCTGTCGATTACGATCTTCTTCTTTCTATACTTTCATCTATTGGTTTTTCTTCCTCGAGTCTTTCATGGTTTCATTCATATCTTTCGCATACCACACCGTGTGTCCGTGCCAATTCAACCTTTTCCAACCGCTTTGAGCTTTCTTGTGGTGTGCCCCAGAGCAGTGTTCTCGGTCCGTTGCTGTTTTCTATCTTCATTGATAGTGTCACCAAGGTTATTTCTTCAAATTTTCATCTTTACGCGGATGACCTGCAGATCTATACCGATACAACAGTTGATGATTTTCCTCAAGCTATTGAGCGAATTAATAATGATCTTGCGAGAGTGCTTGAGTGGTCTAAACTATACGGTTTGAAGCTCAATGCTAATAAGACCCAAGCCATAATATTTGGTACAAATCCTCTACGGGGCAGGATGGCTACTTTTGCTAACTCGCAACTTCTACTTGGTGACACCGTCATTAACTTTTCGGATGTAATTAAGAATCTTGGAGTTATGATGGACCCTGGACTGTCTTGGCGCTTAGGTTCAGGCGATTTGTAAGAGGGTTTACTCTTGTTTCCACTCCCTTCGTAAATTTAAGTGTTTTCTTCCACCTTACGTTCGACGCAACCTGACTTACCTGATTTACGCTGTACGCCTTATCCCTTTGGAATGGTCTCCCCATGGATATTAGAAACGCTCCAACCCTGTCATCTTTCAAGAGTTGTCTTACACATTTCCTCTTCTCCCGTCAAATTGCGATCTTATAATAATTTACTTCCTTTTCTACTTTCTTTCCTATGTTCCTTATTCACCTTCTTTCTTTTCTGCTTTGTTACTCTGTGCATTTCTTACACTTTTCTTCCCTCCTTTTTGTTGTTTGTTTGTTTCTTTTTTCGCTTTTTGATTTTAATTATGCGTGATGATGATTAATATGATTATGTATTTACAAGGCCGCGTTAATTACTTACTATTCTGTATATCTGGTGGCATCATGGTAATATAGTTTAGACTGGGTCGATTTGGAAGATATCGTCTTTGGCGATAAATCGTTCCGTTTGTCAGAATTGAGTTTATGATTTGTTTTCCACTGTCACTGTCATTGTTATAATCATCTTTGCTTTTTTTTATTACACTACCGCTAATATAGGATAATAATTATTATAATTATTATAATAATGTACAATTTTCTTTTGTTCTTTTATGGCAATAAAATTTGTTTATTATTATTATTAAATTCAGATTAATTTTGTGACATGATTTTTTCTTGAGGCAAACTGATGCGTCAACATACAGACTTGAAGTGGTGTTGACGCAAAAATTAGATGATAAGAAATAGGGTCATTTGGATCTCAAACGATCATTTGGTGCTTGTTGATAGAGATTATTGCTTTTTTGGAGCTATTACCGGTGTAATAAAATGATAAACAATAAGTTGATTATTCGCACAATTAACTATAAATCAAGAGTTTTTTGTGGGGAAACTACCTTCAGGTATTATAATTTAAATATATCCAGGAATCTTTCTAATCAAATTTATCGCTTTATCATCAACAAAAATCAGTTTCTAGAATTATAATCTTATATTATTTTATGAACGCATTTTTACCTTGATATAAAAGTGATCCAATTGCCAGTGCTTCAGCAGTTGACCAATCCAAATTAAACCCATCGTTAATTGTTCTTAATCTATTAGTTACGTGATGTTTCAAAAGATTTGGGTGAATATTCTAAAAAAAATACTTAAATTTCTATTTTTTTTTGTTTAAAATAGACTTACAAAATCCTTTGGGTAAGTAACTGATTTAACTCCAACATATTTTAAAATCTCTGGATGCACTCCCGTATTCCATTTAGTTATAGAATTTTGTGCTTGATCGTATCCTTGCCATTGTCTTTGAAAACACGGTTCCTAAAAATTGTTTTATCATTATCATATTAAAATAAAGCAATTTTCGTAGATACATCAGGTTCGAATTGATCAACTTTTTTGAGTTCTTCATTCAAAAAATCCCTATGTTCTGAAACGACTTTATCCCAATTATCTTTTGTCCAAACATTTTCTTGTACCAATTTTTCAGCATAACGATCAGGTACCGTTCTAGTAAGTTAAAAAAAAATTGTGTATTTCAAAGTTTATAACTAATAATGTATTACTTTTGAGCACGAATAATTTTGTAAATAGCAGGATTTGTAAATGTTGGATCATCTAATTCATTATGTCCCCACTGTCTGTAACAATGCATGTCTATAAAAACATCTTTTCGAAATTTTCTTTGATAATCAAATGCTATTCTTGTAGCTTTCAAAACCATCTAAAATTTATTTAATTTTTTTATTAAAATTTTTAATTAATTAATTTTTATTTTACCTCTGGATTATCTCCACAAACATGTAAAACAGGAGCCGAAATTATCTTAGCCAAATCCGTGCAGTACCTTGATGATCTTCCTCGATCTCCAGGGGTTGTGTATCCAACTTGATTATTTACGACTAAATGAACACTACCTCCTATTTCAAAATGAGGAACTGAGGACATTTCTAAACATTCTTGATTAACTCCTTGTCCGGATAACGCAGCATCTCCATGAACCTAACATTCGACAAATTAGAACACAAGAAAATAAATAAAGTTTATTACCTGAAGATTTAAAATTTTATCACTCCATCTATTATTTTCTTGCGAATAATCACCATCTTTTACCATTAGTTGCTTTGCTCGAGTTTTTCCCATTGAAACTGGGTTAACAGCTTCTAAATGAGATGGATTGTACAGAATGGAGACGTGTAATGGTTTGTTATCGACGTTAATATCAACGGATGATACTAAAATAATATTTTTTATTAATGTTTTATTTTAAATATGTATGTTCGACCAATTGCGACAATTAGTTCTAATTATATTTAGTGTAATCATAAGTTATTATATACATCAGTTGAATAACGCAGATGTTAAGACACCAGCTTGGCGAGAATAGAAACCTAGCGAACACCAAAACGGCAAAAGCTAGATGATTCCAATGTTCAGTAGATATGGGGAAGAAATAGTTTGTGATTAAATGATTCCAGTACTGGGAGCAATATCTGTTGATCAATCAGAGCTATGCCATAATAGAAAAATACATCAGATTGATAATGTATTGACGTGAAAATTCTTGTAATTTCGAAAATCACAATCCACACCAACGTCACTCTTCCCTATATAATTACAAATAAACTAGACAGGAAACAGAAGTGGAGGAAAATATACGAACCTATAGCACGCTGGAACCTATTGTCCTGGAACACCAAAACAGTGAAAATGGAAATGTAACAACATAACATAGATATATGCGCAGTATCAGAAAAATAGCAAAGCCTAAAGTAGAAGAGAAATTCTAAAGTACCAAACTATGTGCTAATATATAGGGGGGGTCGACGGACAGAAAAAAAACTAATACAAGACATATATTACGTAAATGAAAGAAATCTCAACGTATCATTAGATATAGGAACAGGAAACCTCAATGACATGTGTGTGTGCTCCGAACAATAGCAAAAGCAGAAAGAAGAAATACACACATTCTACGGAAGTCTATAAATTGAACAGAGTAACATATCAGTAAATGGGAAATTACTTAAATTGTGGGTGACCTAAATGCCAGAATTGGAATAAAAAAATTATTAAATTTTTATTATTCTTTATTTATTTTTTTTATTAAATTTCCAGTATAATACATAATTCATCATCTCAAATTTTAACTGTAATAATACACAAATAAATAGAAGTAACACCTATAGGTTTATAAATTATGTTGAACACAATGTTCAAAGAATTAAAAAAATTGTTCAATAATCTTCTTTCTTTCTCAGCCGGTCTCTATTCACTGTTTGATTTGTAATCATTAATCATCTCCGTAGCAGTCTTCTCACATTCCAATTTGGTGTTTTTGTCGGCTATTTGACGCTGATGTGTCCTGCCCATCGCCACTACAAGCTAGCAATTCTAGCCACTACGTATGTGATCGTAGTGCACCTTCGGATCTTCTCATTCCGCGCTCTATTTTTGAGATTCATCCCCAGCATTGCCTTCTTTATGGCTCTTCGGTTTATCCTTAATCTATTAGCACTATTTTTGTTGTTGCCACTACACTGAGAGAAATAGATTGTACGAATCGTATTATAGAAAAAATATACATGCAGCAATTCATTGTATTATATTCATTATATTTATTGTACTGAATACAATCTCGTCTCGCTGTCCCTTTTCGTGGTAAACGTATTATACCTTATAGTATATTTTTAGTGCATAGTACAATCATTTCTCTTAGGGTGGTATCTAAGAAACTATTAACCTGAAACACTTTCGTTACAGGTTAATAGACATAGCTGGCTTTTTGAGGATGAAACTGAGTTTCCCAAACGATGCCCATGTCAATCCTATCCTTCTTATTATTTCGGTGGTCTGTTTTTTTTTGTCTAACTTGATATCGTGACCAAGGTAGATGTGTAGTGTTCTACATCTTCTATAATACGATTTTCGATCGAGAACTGGAGAGCGTCCGGACTGAAGATCTTTGTCTTTTGAAGATTCATCACACTTCAACTCCACTGGGTTGCTGCTTATTAGTATGATGTCCCTGAATATCAACTGATCTAGGTAGGTGTCCTCGATATTGATCTCTTTCTTCCAGGGCGGGTCACACCTTTTGTGGGCCCGAGGCGCTCTATATTTTTGGGCCCCAAAAAGTCTAATATTACCATTTAAGTGTTATGATTAATATTAATAATAATGTTTTTTGCCTCAAAAACAAGTATTTACATAAATATATACATTCATAACAAATATAGACATCAAGGCAAACGGATCAATTTAACGCAATAAGCGATATCTTCCAAGAGATCCAAGTGGTAACAGTGTATATGTAATTTTAAATAAATAATTATGGCTACCAAAAAAGTAATACTAAATGATGTGCTAATAGGACTGAGCAAATGAGCATATTTGAGTTATGTAACGGATCGGCAGTCAGTTACTACAAGGAAGGAAATAGACACAAAAAAAGTGCAGTAAAAGATAGATGAAAGGCAGACTAGAGAAGAAAACAAACACGTATAGGCCCAGAAGAAGATAGTTGATGAGATAGCAGATGGCGCCTCAAGACATTTTTAAAACTTATTAAACTAGCTGCATTCCGAACAACAGCAGGCAAATCGTTCCACAACGCAATCGACTGCACTGTAAAAGATCTGTGGTAGATTTCAGTACTATGGACTGGAAAGATGAGTGTATAGTCCGACATTGATCGAGTGGGCAAGTCATATGATGTTAGAAAGTGAAAGGCTTTGAACAAATAAGCAGGAGTGTGGGTATGGACAATTTTGTACAACATAATAAGCATGCGAAATGATCTACGACTCTGGCAAGTCATCATCTGCAGGTTGTTACAATATGGAGTAATGTGCTGAAACTTTCCTAAATCAGAAATGTACCGTATACAATTGTTCTGAAGCCTTTCCAATTTACCCCGAAGGGCTGTGTACTCGGGATACGCAGCATCGGCATAATCAATGTGTGGGAAAATGAGAGAATAACAAAGATTACGACGTACAACAGGAGGAAGGTAGCAGCGAAGTTTTTTCAAAGTATGGAAACAGAAGTAAACCCTCTTACAGACTCCCTGGACTTGTGGCCGCCAAGACATCGCCGAATCCATTACCACACCAAGATTTTGGACCGTATTAGAAAACGGAAAACGGTGTCGCCAAGCCTCAGTTGAAGGGTAGTTAAGGAATTAAATTGTGCCAGCAAGGGGCGAGTGCCAAATGTAATGGCTTGCGTTTTACCTGGATTCAGGTTAAGTCCATGACGTCTAGACCAGTCAAGCACGCTAGAGAGATCGTTGTTAAGATGCAATAACGCATCTGGGAGGTTATTAACAGTTGACGAAATATAAAGTTGAAGGTCATCTGCATACAAATGATAGTTACACGAGATACCATCACTAATACCATTTATGAAAATTGAGAAGAGCAAAGGACCCAACACACTGCCCTGGGAAACTCCACATTTGATGTCAACAGGAGAAGAGAGTACAGATTCCACGCGGACACGTAAAGACCGATAGGAAAGGTAGGACTGGAACCAAGCTACACAAGAAGAGGTAAAGCCAATAGCAGAAAGCCTAGTTAACAGGAGGGCATGGTCCACAGAATCAAAGACCTTACTAAAATCAAGTAACACTAGCAAGGTAAAACAACGGTTATCACACGCAGATCTAATATCATCGGTGATCTTAATCAGTGCTGTAGTAGTACTATGCCCTTCACGAAAACCAGATTGGAACTTGTTAATCAGATTAAACTCCTCAAGATATTTCTGAATCTGCAAATAAGCTAAACGTTCAATAGCTTTTAACAACGTAGATAGAATAGAAATGGGTCGAAAGTCACCAACATGGGACGGACATTTAATTTTTGCAATATCAAACCAGAACCGGGCCCCAGTAAGTGCAGGGCCCTGAGGCATGCGCCTCAAGCGCCTACTGGTTAATCCAGCCCTGCTTTCTTCTCCTAAGATAGATTTCTTGAAGATGTCCTCCAATGCCAAGTGAATAGTTTGGGTGAACACCTGTCTCAACCGGGATCTTCTTCGTCAGCATGTCCTCACGCAATTTGACACGTAGTGTTTCGTTGGTGTAAATATGTTGGACAAGGTTTGAGCATGGTGAATCGATTCTCAGAACTTTCCGATTTTCTTTCAGGACTTTCATTGATTGCACCTTCGTCTGGATGGTTGTCTAATATTCGCGTTGCCTTTGCTCTAGTTTTGCAGAAGTTGGATATGTATAACTCTTTACCAGTTTGCTAACTCTTTAGGTTAGTGTCGATACTGATTTTTCTCTTGCCAGCCTGTGGTCGCCAGTATNTTCTTGGTTTTTTGTTAGTAAATTCGAAAATAAATAAGTATTTTCAACTTAATTTGTGTTTTTTTTCTGTATACCATAATATGTATACATAGTATTACTACCTTTGCTATAAAGACAGGGGCCATTTACAAAATTTTGCGCCTGGGCCCATATTTTCTAGTTACGCCACTAGTTTATCCTTAATCTATTAGCACTATTTTTCGTGGCCGTGTTGGTTTCCAGGGCATACTAACGTTGTTGCCGCTAGTACGTAAGATTCGGAACCATTAACCTGAAACGTTTTCGATATTGCTGGCTTTTTGAGGATGAAAACGAGTTTCCTAAACGTTGCTTATGTCAATCATATCCTTCTTATTATTTCGGTGGTTTAGTTTCCTTTGTCTAGCTTTATATAGCGACCAAGGTAGATGTAGTGATCTACATCTTCTATAATATATATTTCTATATTTCTGTAGCAACTGTGATTTTGAAAAGTTGCTTGAATCGTTCAATGGAAAGATAAAAATTGTTGATCAGTTAACCACTGCAAATACCCGCTTACGAGAGCAGGTAACGAGTTTGGCTGCGAGGCTGGATGAGGTGGATGAGCAGTGATGTTGAAATTCATAGTGTTCCCCAACGCGAAAATGAAAATCTGTTGTCTATTGTAGACAACATTGCCAAACATGTAGGGGTCCAATTCTCATTGACAGACGTTGATGCCATTCATCGTGTTCCGCACTTTGATAAGCAAAATAAAGCTCCACGGGCCATAGTGATGCGGTTTTGCAGCCGCCTAAAGCGCGATGCTTTTTTGGCGGCGGCAATCAACAAAAGGAAGTCCGTACCTGGTTCTCGACAGGGTTTGCATATCGAAGGGGTGGGGGAGTGCTGTTTCGTTAATGACCATCTGACGCCAGCTAATAAGGCCTTGTTTGCTCGAACGAGAGGTATTGCTAAAGATAAAAACAATCGCTTTGTATGGACACGTGATAGCAAGATTTTTGTCAGAAACAATGAATCATCGCCGATAGTCCATATAAGATCTCCTGATGACCTCTCACGCCTTTAAATAATTAATTTAATATAATAATTAAAAAGAATTAATAAAACAAACGCTCAAAATGTTTGGCCTTTCAGTATATAGTATATACGGCATAGCACATCGACGCTATTTATACCAGCGTCGATGTGCTATGCCTAACCGAAACATGGCTCCACCCTGGTATCAATTCGGCTGAGGTTCTTCCTACTTCCTACTACAACATCTACAGAAGAGATCGTGTTGGTGCTGTTCCGGGTGGTGTGCTGATAGGTGTTAATGCGAGTCTTCGCAGTGTTCAGAGGTCAGACTGGTTTAAAGCCAATGAAGCTATTTGTGTAACACTTTATTGCGATAAGCGTATTAGCAAACTGCATATTGGTTGTATCTATATTCCTCCTAATGATAATGTTGCATTAAATGTATTTTGTAATGAATTAAGACACATTGTTGACCGCTTCCGTGATGATAAATTCTTGAACGTTTCGTCTTCTGCGCGGACGCTCTAAATACCTGATTGATCAGAATTATAAGGCGCATATTAAACGTATGCAGGATGGTGTTGCATTGGACGCAAAGCAGTTATGGGCATATCTCAAACGCAGAAGAGGCGGTACGGGTATCCCATCAATTGTAATTCTAGATGGGGTTGAGGCATCGAACGGCAATGCCATCTGTTCGTTATTTGCGAATTATTTTAGTGCAGTTTTCGCAGCTCCCCATTATGATGCGGTGGGGACGGTTGATTCTTCGCGCGTACGCATTCATGGCGTCAAGTAGCTTTGAATAAGGGTCCTGGTGCTGACGGTATACCTGCTATACTGGTCAGAAACTATACTCAGGCAATATCAGTTCCTTTACAGCTGATATATAATAAATCCATTAAGCTGGTAGTGTTTCCGGATACGTGGAAGCGAGCCAACGTTGCACCCATTTTTAAATCAGGTGATCAACACTTCGTTGTCAATTATCGTCCAATATCTACATATATTACCCATACTTGGAAAGATCTTTGAGAAGTTGGTGTACGCCAGTGTATTTTTTCAAATTCGTGGAAGTATTAATACTAATCAGCACGGTCCTTTACTGTTTTTAATTTACATAAAAAATATTTTTAATAATATTGTTAATTCGCGTGGCCTGATGTACGCTGACGACTTAAAAATTTACCTTTCTATTCGAAACATCGACGATTGTGTTAAATTACAGGCAGATCTTGATAGAATTTGCAATTTCTGTACAAGCAATCAATTACACTTAAACTTTTCTAAGTGCCACACCATCACTTTCATCAGAAAAAAAGATTATATAAAATATGATTACATCCTTAACTATGATAAGTTGCGTCGAGTTACATCTACAGTTGATCTTGGTGTAACACTAGACCAAAAACTACTTTTCGATGTCCATGTAGATGGTGTGGTTGCTCGATCATACAGAATGCTGGGCTTTATAAAACGATCTTCCGAGGATTTCACAAACCACAACGCAATTATAAGTATGTACAGTGCATATGTCAACAGCATCTTAAACTTTGGTAGCGTAATCTGGAATCCTCAATATTCCGTATATATCGCTAGGTTAGAAGGAATCCAGAAACGACTGATTAAATACTTGTGTTATAAAACCCAATAAGTGTACAGTAACTATGCGTCTGGTTGTGAAATGTTCGGATTGCTAACGCTCTCCCAGCGACGAGCATATATGACGTTTTATTTTTGTACAAGCTTGTCAATGGTCACACTGATTTCCCATCGCTGATGGCGAAAATTTTCGTGTTCCTCGTCGTCAGTTACGGTACGACTTCCTTTTTTATATGCCCACTCCACGAACAAACGCATATCGTAACTCACCTATTCTGAGGATGGAAAGAACCGCGGATCGGGTGAGTTGCGATCTTTTTTCGAGTAGCCCACGAAATATTAAGTTTGCGGTCCGCGAGGCTGTGAAGACTGCGCACATCATGTGTAATTTAAATATTTAATAATGTTAATTTAATATAATAACTTATTTGTAATCACATTAAATGTTACTTTAAGGTTTTCGTATATAATAATTATGTGGAGCAACTTTATTGGGTTTGTCCTGTTGTTGCTCCCCGATATCAATAAATAAATAAATAAATAATATGATTTTCGATCGAGAACTGGGGAGCGTCCAGACTGACCATCTTTGTTTTTTGAAAATTCATCATTACACCCACTTCTGCTGATATTTTATGGAGCTGCTCCAGGATATCCTTTAACGCCGCTGGGTCGCTGCTTATCAGTATGATGATGTCCGCGAATAACAAATGATTTAGGTAGGTGTAGTCGATATTGATCCCTTTCTTCTCCTAAGATAGATTTCTTGAAGATGTCCTCCAATGCCAAGGTGAATAGTTTGGGTGAACACCTGTCTCAACCGGAATCTCCTTCGTCAGCATGTCCTCACGCAATTTGACGCGTAGTGTTTCGTTGGTGTAAATATGTTGGACAAGCTTAGAGCATGGTGAATCGATTCTCAGAACTTGATTGCACCTTCGTCTGGATGGTTGTCTAATATTTGCGTTGCCTTTGCTCTAGTTTTGCAGAAGTTGGATATGTATAACTCTTTACCAGTTTGCTAACTCTTTAGGTTAGTGTCGATACTGATATTTTTAGATAGCCTGTGGTCGCCAGTATTAAATCGGAGGAGAGTATTGACATTCATGCAAATCACTTTGCTATTAGCGTGGATGTAGTTGATGTCATATTTCACCTGGGTTTTTGGGCATTTCCAGTTCCTCTCGAGTGGTTTCTTGAAGTGAGTGTTCATTTAGAATATACATTTTATGCCGTACTTGTTCGGTTTGGATCTCGGAAACCTGGTGGGATTTCATTGATTGTATGTTCTTACATTATATCCGTTTTGAAAGTTTTCCAGAACTTTTTCAAACACGTCCCGAATAGGAGCGACACGAGGAACCAAGTTCTCTATTTATGATATTAAGAACGCAACCAACATCAAAATCATTGGCTAGGTATTATGGATTACGATTACATGTAATAAGGCAACACTGATAATTTAAAACATCGAAAATAACTTGGAAAATCAAAACCTTGGAAAGAATTGATTTGTTGGATTAAACTAATATCAAGCTAGGTACATCATAATATTGAAGGGAAATTAACGTTTGAAATTAACAAAAAGAAAAATGCGGTTGAAATACCGTAACATAAAGGGAAGCGTAGCTGGTTGGTTGCATAACAATTACATTTAATCATATTTGTTATATATTTAAATCTGTTTTGAAATTTATCATTTCATTGTAATTGACTTTTTCTTACAATATTCGTATTCCTTCAAGTTCTGGCACATAATTTATCGAAACCAGTCGAGTTTGATTTTGAAAAGAATTGAGAATTTACTTACTAAAATGACTTAAAACGTCCCCTGTTGCTTCATATTTTGTCGGAAAATCTGGTTTACCTTTTAATTTAGCAAATATTTTAATAGGTGGAAAATCGAGTAAACCNAACTTGATTGCACCTTCGTCTGGATGGTTGTCTAATATTCGCGTTGCCTTTGCTCTAGTTTTGCAGAAGTTGGATATGTATAACTCTTTACCAGTTTGCTAACTCTTTAGGTTAGTGTCGATACTGATTTTTCTCTTGCCAGCCTGTGGTCGCCAGTATTAAATCGCACCAAGATATTGACATTCATGCAAATCACTTTGCTATTAGCGAGGATGTAGTGATTTCTTGAAGTGAGTGTTCATTTAGAATACACATTTTATGCCGTACTTGTTCGGTTTGGACCTCGGAAACCTGGTGGCATTTCATCGATTCTAACATGCTCTTCGACACTATATCTGTTTTGAAAGATTTCCAGAACTTTTTCCAAGCCGTCCCGAATAGGCGCGAGACGAGGAACCAAGTCATTAGCTAGGTATTAATGGATCACGATAAAAACGTTGATACATAAGGCAACACTGATATTTCAAAACATCGAAAATAATTTACTTGGAAAATTAAAACCTTGGAAAAAATTGATTTGTTGGATTAAACTAATATCAAGCTACATCATAATATTAAAGGGAAATTAACGTTGGCACAAAAAGAAAATTGTGGTTGAAATACCGTAACATCAAGGTCTATAGAACATAAGGTTACCCAATCCCGATTCTCCTCCTCTGAGGGGCAAGGTGGGTCAGTGACGTAGCTGGTTCTATGAACAACACAACACGATGCGAGGTTTAAATATTTTATATAGACTGTACCACAGTATAGGCACGTATAGGCTATCTTTTACTCTGACTTTATCGAACCTTATGTTCTATAGACCTTGCCGTAACATAAAAGGAAGCGTAGCTGGTTGGTTGCATAACTATTATATTTAATCATATTTGTTATAATATATATTTAAATCTGTTTTGAAATTTATCATTTCATTGTAATTGACTTTTTCTTACAAAATTCATATTCCTTCAAGTTCTGGCACATAATTTATCGAAACCAGTCGAGTTTGATTTTGAAAAGAATTGAGAATTTACTTACTAAAATGACTTAAAACGTCCCCTGTTGCTTCATATTTTGTTGGAAAATCTGGTTTACCTTTTAATTTAGCAAATATTTTAATAGGTGGAAAATCGAGTAAACCAGTTAAAAAGTTAAGTCTTCCTCTATGTGGCATACCAACCACAATTTGTTGTAATCCATCATTTACTGAGAGTTTAAAAAATTCACTAAAAAATGCCATCATGCTTTCGGCTCCTTCCCCGCCATATCTTTTAACGCTGACGAATTTAGCCGCCATAAATTGATCGAAAACTTGGGATTTTAAGATGTCTTTCGCAATTTGTATCCTTGTTTCGTTTGAAAGTTGTTTTTGCATCATGTTTTCGTACGCGTTTGCAAACCATTCTCTTTCGTGTTCCGTCTATTTAAAATTAAAAAAAAAGTTGTGATGATAATTTCAAAATCAAAATTTATTCACCTCTAAATAATCAAATTCAACCCCAATATTATTCGAATAAATTGAATTTAGTAATTCCAAAGCTTCTGTAACCGATCCTTCTAATTTATCGGTGTTTATAATACCTTTAAAAGATACTTTATCGGAATTTTGAAGGCCGTATTTTAATGGATTAAGATCTGGAATGCTAAAGAAAATATTTTTTGAATTTTTTTTTAAAGATTAGTTTATTTAATCTAACCTGATTGTTTTTTCTAAACAAATAGGGTTCGTTTCCGCTATTTTATGAGCATGTTTTCGATACGCTTGTACTAATCTATAAAAATTTCCACTTTGATTGCGAGCAGTTTGAATTTCAACAGGAACTGAAAAATTATAATGACACTTTAAACGTCAAAATTTTCCTTCAAAACCCAATATTACCAACACATTTTTACTTTTTTTCTTTACACAAATATTACCTTCGTATTCCTCCTTTTTCTTTCTTCTAAACCCGAATACGCTTTCACTTTGGTAAGATCTTGAAGAAATTTGAGTGAGTCTTTTAATCTGATTGAATAGGTTGGCGTTTTTTACATAAAATTTAGAATACATTTTTTGAGGTTATGTTACATTACACATGTAGTAAACCGATGAAAATGAACTGTGTTGTTGTTGACCTCAAAATGTTAATAGATATTTTTAGAAGAGAGAATATTGTATGACGTCTCGGCGTTATCAGCTCTAATTGCATAAATTTCTCTTTTTTGATAAGAATTTTTTAAGAACTTATCCACAATCGTATGTTTGAATGTTTTTATTATGGATTGGGTCAAGAGAAAATGAAATTATCATCGTAGATTAATTTATTTAAAAGTTTTACAGCCATTACATCAGTATAAAAAATTATAAAATGACTTTTATAAAATTTAAGTTCTTATATTTCAGGGAAAGCACTTCCAATCATATTTTTACCCCTGTATCTAAACGTATAAGTTCTTATGATAAAGTTCTTTCCATCAAATCTCATAGGACAAACTTGGTCTGGTTTGAGTAAGAAACAAGTTGAGTACAACGCAATTTCAAGTTCAGGACTTGTCCCTATAAACATTGATCCAACTGGTTTATCATGACCATTAAAAGTAAAATGATGTTTTAAAATAGATCCTTTCTAAAAAACAAAACAAAAATAACATAAATTAACTCAATTTAAAATTATATTTCAACTTACATTTCCCAAATCAATTTTTCTCATGTATCCCAAATAATTAGCTAATCCTTTCGCTTCAGCATCCTTAAAATAAAGCCAATTATGCAATCCGGTAACATCGCTATTTTTAATTTCCGCCAAAAAGACATGTTCGAATCCGCTAGATCCGATTCTACCACCTCCTCTTGAGTACATACTAAACCACATTTCCTTTAATTTATCACGAAAATCTTTGGGATCTTTCGATACAATTCCTTTTTGTACCAAAAAATTTCTAGCAGATTGCATCACAGCACTATTTATTATACTATCTAATAAATCATTTTCTTCTAATCTTTCTTGAGGTGTAACGTGTTCATTTACGTTTGTTTCTAAGATATAATTGTTATGAAGGGCCAGTAGTTTCGAAATTGATGAAACTTGATAAGCGGCTGGATTTATATTCAATAATCTATATAAAAAATAAAATAAAATTGTTAATAACTTATCAATTTTTTGATCTATTCATATCATATCATTCGTAATCCATTTACGACTTTATTTATTCTACGGAGGACTCCATGAACAAAAAAACCCAGAACCAAGTTATGCAAGGATACAAATAAGAATCTTGTGTCGATCCCCAATTAATGTTAAATGGATGGACTCGGTATTTTGATCGGCTGTTTAACGCGAATACGTTGGAACGAGAAACAGGAAGAACCAACCCAAGCAGAGATAGAAGAAGCCTTTCAAAGCTAAGAAATGGTAATTCTTCTGGCAGCGACCAAACTTCTGTGGAATTCTTCAAATAGGCAGCTGCTCTACTCACCTGTCAGTTACACAAGATATGCAAGCAAATATGGACTATAGAAGAAATGCCCGAGGAGTGAATCTTTCGGATCACCTGTGTTACCAATAAAAAAGGGAGCCCAACATTGATAATGGACTAAATGTTTGTTTCACAGCAGATCTTGGAGCAAAGCACAACATCGACACATTCCATAAATTCATCGACTTCAAGCTCGCCTATGACTGCATCATACGGGAAAAACTATACAGGGTGTCTGCTGAGGTATCCGAGAAACTTCGTATAACTTCCGTATAACATCCGTATAACTTCGGTAATTGAATAATTAGCCATTTAATTGATATTAGAATAAAATTGTTGACATTCAGGTCATTAATTGTCATCATTGTTATCAATTGTGCTAAAATCATGCCTGTAACTTATCCACATGAAGATGGATATTGCAACGGTAATACCACCGCCTCAGTTAGAGAATATCAACGACGATACCCAAACCGCCGTCTTCCAGACAAGCAAACCTTCGGTAGAGTCTTCACAACTCTTCGATTAAGAGGTGCGTTCCCTAAATCAACTTGTGAAAGAGAAATTAGGCGAAGAAACAATGCTGCAGAAGTGCTTGAGGCTGTTGATAATGTTGATAATGATGATGGTACTAGTACGAGAAGAATTTCTGTACTTACTGGACAAGCTAGGACGGCTGTGCATGACACTTTCCGGGAAAACGGACTGCATCCCTATCATTACCAACCAGTACAACAACTTCTTCCCGAGGATCTTCCCCAAAGAGTTCGCCTTTGTGAATGGTGGAGAAATCATCTGGATACTCTTTCAAGAACTCTTTTTGGTGACGAAGCTACATTTACTAGAAATGGAATCAACAATTTTCATAACGAACATGTGTGGAGATTCGAAAACCCTCATGCTGTTCCAGAAACCCATTTCCAGAGTAGATTCTCCGTAAACTTTTGGGCTGGAATAATTAATAATGTTGTTATTGGACCGCATTTTTTCGACGGAAATTTGAACAGCGAAATGTACCAGGCTTTTTTGAAGAACGATCTACCTCTATTACTTGAGGACGATGATGGTGCTCCCGCCTATTATGCAAGAATTGTCACGAATTTCCTCAATGAACAGTATCCAAATCGATGGATAGGTCGTGGTGGTCCCATTGCTTGGCCACCGCGATCTCCGGAATTCGAGAAAAATGAATAGAATCATTTGTGCTTAAAATTAATTATAGAATTCATATACAAAGTTTCTCGGATACCTCAGCGGACACTCTGTATAATAGATGCAACATCCCAAGAAACTAACGTACTACGTCAGGAGAACGCTCTGGGGCAGGGATGAGCAACACGCGGCCCGCGCAACTAGTATAGTGTAGACCGCCAATCCAGTGCTGAATTGCGAATTCTTAACGAATCGATTAAGAATCCACTGGACTTGATTGGCTCACTGGAATAATGTGAACCGGGCATTATGTTGTAAATTTTATTAGAAATTTACTATAAAACATTACAATCATACAACTTGAGAATTCTGGTTAGCCTGCAATAGAGGCTTGGGTTGAGTTGTATTAATTTTCTACTGTAAGGTATTACAATGTTATTGTTTATCATCTCTACAAGAGTTGTTAATACTATTAATCAGTTTTGCAGGGTATATGTCTCTCATTTTTTCACACTACTGGAAACAAAAACCTAACTCTAACCTCACTTTTAGCACGGGGTCCATCTGACCTGGAGTTAGATGGGTCGCGCGTGATGGTGACTGTTTCTTCTTGTTTATTTAACAAGGGAACTGAGTGGTAAAGACTCAACTCCGAATCTGCCTCAAAATTTCATAATCGACAGGTGACTACTGTATAGGTAAGTCCTGTAAGAGTCATCGATGGGAAACAGGACTTACCATCCGTAACATAGCAAAAAGTTTATGACCGCAGGTGTTGACAAGTGAAGGTAGCGTAGACGGTAGAGGTCCGGCACTTCCGTACGTATCCCGCGAAGGGATAGAGAACTGTACCGACTGAGAACGTAATTGTTCTGCTTACTGCTTTTTTAAGTTGTTCTTTGATCACTAAGTTACAAAACATTCACAATATTCGAATATATTGTTCACCAAATCGTTACAGGGTTCTCATTTTTTCAATGAGACGTGGCGGTATGCCTGGAGCTAATTGCGGAGCGGTAGTGTTTTAGGCGAAAATGTTGGTGGGGGAATTTATCAAAATGTTTTGTATAAGACAGCAACGCATGTTTCTAGTACAAACCTACTTTTCACGAGGCGAACGTTCCGGCTACGCTACAATATTCCCCCTCGAGGTGGTGTTCTTGTCATTCATCTTATCGTGGGTGGAAGCTTTTAGAGTAATTGGAAATGTGTCCCGCAAGAGGCCAGGAGCAGCACTGTTTAATACCTGCAAACATCGCTGCAGTGCAAGCTTCAGTTTTACGATCTCCAAGACGCTCTTCTTCAAAACATGCGGCTGCTCTGGAGTTGTCAGATCGTCCAACTCATCAAAGTCTTCATAGTGATCTTTCATCCATACAAAATAGTATGGAGTTGCACAACAACTTTCCGAACGTGATTTGGTTTCACGAAAAACGGCAAAAGAAACGCTTCTTGAGAATTTGCCTGCTAATTTGCTGCAGTTGTGTGGTTTAGAGATGGGGCTCATTTCCACGTCTCAGGTTGTGTTAAAAAACAAAATATGTGTTATTGGATATGAATTCATTCTAGCGTTATGTAGCCAGGCTTGACAACATTTTTCTGCCGGCTCTTGAAAATTTTGATGTTGGCCAAGTGTGGTTTCAGCAAGATGAAATCCACACATCCCGAATTTCAATGCGTGTTATGAGTGAAAATTTTCCGATCGACTTATCATTAGCAGAGGTGGCATCAGTTGCAGTCTATTGCAGTTGTAAACAGTGATTTAGATAAATTTTTAAATATTTCTAAAAAACATGGTCTTTTGTTAAATGGAAATAAATGGTATTCGAGGGTAGGGAATCCAAAGCGTTTGTCAGCAACATGGCCCATATCTTTATAGATGTAATTGAATTGGAGAGAAAGGTCTGTGTTAACGATCTTGGACTTTACATTGACGGCAGCTTAAGGTTTACTCGTAACGCACGTGAACTGCTTACGTAAAATTGAAAATGCTGTTTGCTCATAGACAAGTCTTGAACATAGATATAAAAAGGAATCTTTGTGAGTCTGTAACTTTATCCAATTTTACATACTGTGACACAATTTACGGACACTGCCTGTTGACTGCTGATGTGCGACGTATTCAGGTAGTTCAGAATTCTTGTGTTCGTTTTATATTTGGTATACGCCGACGTCAGAGAGTATCGTATAAGCTAGAGGAGTTGAAGTGGCTGAATATGTCAAGTCGTCATCAGTTACATTTTGGTTGTTTTCTGTATAAAGTTGTGTCAAGTTGTACCACCTTACCTCACCAACAAAATTACTTACAGAACGGACATTCATAATATTAATGTACGACGTAAGGACCTCATTAACATTCCTCGTCACCATACCCAACCATTCAAGAGGTCTTTTAGTTATAACGCGGCATGTGTTTTGAATAAGTACAGTCTGCTTTTTGCTCAACCATCGTTTCGCACTTTTAAAAGGTTTCTGCGTCTTAAATTGCTTGCTAATTTGCTATATAACAATCAAAGAGTAGAATAAGCTCGTTGCAATAACAAATTGACATGCCTTCTAAACCTCAAACTGCTATCCAAGATAATGCCCAAGTTACGTCCTTCCTTAACAACATCAATCTTATTTCTAAAATCATCTCTAACTGATTCAATAACGTTATCATTACCAAACAATAGAACAACTGATTTTTTTGGGTTTATTTGCAAACATAGTTTTTTAGCCTCTCCGATAAGCGCTGCCAAATCCGAATTTAACTGTTCTTGTGCAGAATCAATAGAATTAATTTGAAAACTATGTAATAGTTGGGTATCATCAGCATACATATACGCTGAACAATGTTGCAAAACTGTGCAAAGACGGTAGGTGTAAATTAAATAAAGAATAGGATATTGTAGTATTCTTTTATGCTAATAAACTATTATTATTATTATCTCGTGGTCCGCACACTCGCCAGATTTAGCCCCATGTAGTTTTAATAAATACGTCTTTAACAACTATCCTACAACTCTGGAAACATTAGTAGTAATTAATATAGAAGTAATTAAAAAGTTACCAAAATTAACATCATATTTTACTACTACTACTGGAAACTTCTGTAAGTAACAACCAAACCAAAAATCTTCCACATGATGAGTCGTGTCGTTCACAAATTGCGGGAATTTCTGAATCCTCATGTTCTTCAACAATTTCCATCAACTTTGGAAAAGACATTGAATCAGAAAGCGACCGTCCCTATGACGAAAGAGCAACAAATTCGGTGATTTCACAAATAGCGACAACTGTGTCAGTAGAACGACAACAGTTTTCCAACCCGGAAGAAATATCGCACGATCTCGCCGATTATTTTCATGAAAATTTTACAGAAAAAAATCGCGAAATGTTGATTTCTAAGGGATCTGCATGTTTTCAAAATAATGATTCTGACTTTTCCGATACATCCAGAACCTACAAAGATGGTAATAAATCAGTAACTAGGTATTTCAACAAAG